GTTCTTTTTTTAGGGGGAGGAAGAAGGGACACCGCAACAAACCGATGCACACGTCCGCCATTGACATCGATCTTGAGCCATAACTTCCAAGGTTTTCAACCAGCAAGTATCCTCATCTCTCGGACCCCAACCAGGTAGTCGACAACTACCGGCCGAGGCCAACTGTTTCGTCAACTTTTCATGCGGCTTCTCCATGTTGTAGGCTGTCCACCAGACCGTCTCTTCCAGCCTTGTCCAGCAAGTGCAAACAACGCACGACGGGGGTAACGCTGGACAGGCATGCGCAATACGTGTCCCAACCACCGCAGTTGATGCAGTGAGATGAGCTCCTCGAGCGAGTGGCTTCCACGTCCCAAGACACGCTGTCTAACTTCCACATTGCTTACGTGGTGCTGCCACCACACACGGGCAATGGACCGCAGACAGCGGTGCTCGAAGACGGATAGCCTGCGCAAGTCATCTTTACGAATGGGCCAGGTCTCGCATCCGTACAACAGTACAGCACGAACAGTTGCACAATAGACCCGCCCTTTGATGGAGAGACGAATGTCGTGGCGACGCCACAAATGCCTCAGCCTAGAAAAAGCGAGGCCTGCTCTCAAGATGCGCATCGAAATCTCGTCTCCAACAGCCCCGCCAGCAGTGATGCAACTTCCCAAGTAGACAAAGCTCTCCACAACCTCTAGTGTCTCACCAGCAAGCGAGAGTGCAGGCAGAGGCACCTGCCAGTCTTGGAAGAGAGCCTTGCATTCGGATGGCGAAAAGTACATACCGTACTTTGATGCTTCAATCGCCAAGCAGTTTAATGCAAGTTGGACGACCTGTGGATCGTCACCCAGCAAGACGATATCATCAGCATAATCCAAATCAACAACTCGACTACCTGGGAGAAGCCCAACGCCAGCGTTCAACGAATCGCTCAGAGCGTTCTTCAGGACATCCTCAATGGCAAAGTTGAATAGGAACGGAGAGATAGGGCATCCTTGTCGAACTCCACTGGAGACCACAAAGGTAGGCGAAAGCATGCCATAAGCCCTAACCCTGCCCGAGGTCAGACTATATAGAGCGCGCAGTATGGAGACGAACTTCTCGGGGACACCGTTCCTCAGAAGGCACTGCCACAGTACTGTACGATCGACAGAATCGAAGGCTGCACGGATATCCAGGAACACAGCAATCGTTGGCCTCTGATACACATGGCGGAGCTCGAGGATCTGGCGAAGTGTGAAGATTTGATCGATGCAGCCGCAACCAGGGCGAAACCCAGCTTGTTCTTCTCGTTGCAACGATTCGCGTGTTGGGGATAGCCTGCGAAGTATGATGGACACCAGCAGCTTGCAAACGACGGGGACTAAACTTATTCCTCTGTAGTTGGAGCAGATTGTGCGCAGGCCCTTTTTGAAGATGGGGACGACTATCGATTCACCCTAAGATGATGGAACTTTCTCTTTCGACCAAATTTTCGAGAACAAAGCGGTGAGTTCTCGGACCAGCGATGCGCCACCATCTTTAAATAGAGCTGGGTGAAGACCATCAGGGCCGGGAGCTTTATAACGCTTCATGTGCCGGAGCTCCTGCTCGATTTCCTGGGAAGAGGGAGGGTCTGTTGGGGTAGACCACTCGGCCCCAGCGCGAGCGCCAGAGGTAGCAGATGGAGCTGGGGGCCAACAAAACTGCGAGCCAAAATGTTCGGCCCATCGCTCCAACCGTCGTTGAAGATTGGTGATTAAGGTGCCATCCTCTTCGCATATTGTTTCACTTATACCAGATCGAACACCTTCGGTGACTTGAATGAGATGGAAGAGTTTCCTGGTATTACCAGAGAGACTAGCAAGCTCCATCTCCTTGGCACGTTCACACCACCAAGCTTCGCGATCCATTTGCAGACTCCTGCGCAACTCTCGACCAAGGTATTGGCGTTCCTCACTGTGTCTGGAATCCAATGGGATCAAGCGGCGTCTGTCCATCAGCGACAAGGAGTCGGCGGAAATCCAATGTTTCGGTGGGTGACGGGTAACTCCACAAGTGTCGATACTGGCGGAAACTAACGCATCTTTGATATGCGCCCACTGCGAATCGAGATCACCGTCAATAGTTGAGCCAAGCAAGGTTGACAGTGAGGCTTGGTACCTGGTTAAAATCGCAGCGTTTTGTAGATTTGCGACGTCCGGTCGGTAGTGGGCGCGCTTAGGTGATCCTCCGAAACGTATGCAAATCTTAGCACGAACCAATGCGTGATCAGAGTCTAGAAAAGTTGACCAGTACGATCGGCAGTCCGTTACGCTTCCGCGCCATCTGTAGCTGATTGCTATGTGGTCAAGCTGGGAGCACTCTTGCGTTTGTGAGGGCGGGCGAAGGGTGGCAGTGTGTCTCCTCGAGTGTCGAAAACTAGTGCTCGAAAGAAACAAGCGATGATCAGAGCAAAGAGCAAGCAACCTGTCTCCATTGTCTGATCGACTGCCACCGAGACCAAAACTACCCCCAATGTGGTGCTCGCTTGGTAGAAGGCGGCCAACCCGTGCGTTAAAGTCCCCGGCAAGAATGACTATATCCGTCTTTTTGGAGGAACGCAGAAGTTCATGTAGTTGTTGGTATAAGCGATCTTTAACTGTATCCGGGCTGCAGTCTGTAGGGGCGTAGGCGGAGACGACAAATAAGGCACGCTTAACATCTCGACGCCCGCTTACGTTACATGAACCTCTTAGTCTGACTGCACATAGTCGGCTGTTGACTGGGATCCAGTCAAGCAGAGCTGATTCAGCCCTGGCACTTAATACAACCCCAACACCAGCTTGACGAGTGGCGGCAGATTCTGGGTCTCCGGAAAGCCGCAAGTAGTATTTGGCGTCAGAGTTTACCGGAGAGGCCATTCTGATGACGGCGCTAGAGTCTTGTAATCTGGTCTCTGAAAGACAACAGATGTCTACCGATAGCGTTTCAAGAGTACGGGCCAGACATGCTTGTCGTCCGATCTGCATCAAAGTTCGAACATTAAACGCTGCGAGGATGAATGGAGAACCAGGTCGAAGAAGAGCTGGAGCTTCGTTGGAGTGAGAGGCGGTTGCGATCGCAGGACACTGAAAACCGGGAGTTTGGCTGTTACTTCCATTAGCTGCGAGACGTGGGTCGTTTGTGACGGTGACCGTAGAAGACATAAGAGTACATGTAGGTGAAGGACGGGAGGTGGGGTGGTCTGTGAGTGGACGTTAAGCGGTTGAGTTAGGACAAAAGAGCGGCATAGCAGTAGTAGTAGTGAGCGGTGTAGTCCATGATTCGTCAGTGGGCGTGATACTACCCGGTTGCCCAAACCGAAGTAAAGGGTTGTCTTAGGGGGCCCTACCCCGGGCCTTTGATCAAAGATCTAACCTACAAGGCAGCAGGGTGATGTGAGGGCGTCGCAACCCGTTGGGATCCGGTGACCAAATAGATGGTTCATACGCCTTTCGGTCCGTGAAGGACCAGGGGCCCAACTCACCCTTAAAGTGCAATGCCTCTCAGGGAGGGGCAAGGGGCAGTGACTTTATTTAGTGGTGAGTCACATCCGCCACGTCGCGGTGTTGTTAAACGGACATATGTGGCTTTTTATAGGGAGAACGCTTGCCAGGCGAAAACCCACCACGTCCTGGAACACTGCCGCCGAACCATTCGCTGGAACGGGAAAAACCCGAACCATCCAGCTGGCACCACGAGGTTGTTCGGCAAGCCAGGTAACGAATTACGAGACGCAACAGAGAAACACGACAATGAACACACTAGCAAGAGCTTAAAAAGAATGCAGCGCGAGACACAGAATGCGTATGTGGACAAGGTCAAACAGTCAACCAATACATATATTACCAACGTAGCCAGAAGAAACGCGATGAGACAGCAAAGGTGGTTAATCAGCGTTTCAATTGGCTAACAAAAGGGACATTAGTTCATAATATTAAAAGAAAACGCAAATTTTCTGAGGAAAGCCACTACATTTATCATGCTGGTAAAAGGAATCTTGTAAGACCGAGAATATACCTTATCATATTTATAAGGATATTTAGGATATCCTGAGCTTCGTTTACATCGCGACGGCTGGCATCAGTATGTGGCAGCGTGGGGAGATGATGCTGTAGTGTGTAGTCACCCGTACGCAGAGCACTTTGGTCAAATCCAAATAATCTTGAAACGGATTCAGTAATGGCTACTTTGTATAAACAGGTCGAGAAGTTAGAATGGCAAGATATCTGTGACACTAATAGGTCACGCACGCGGTTCGAACCCGCACAGGCGCGGGCAGCTATATCGAGCCCACACGTCACAAATTGCGCTAACGTGACCGTTAACGCACTCCTGACAATCTTTTTGAGACACCAGGTAACAAGAAAGTGTGAACAACCAGGTACCATCCATAGACAAAGGCTTGACTTAGTGAAGTAGTACACACACATGATAACTGGGGATGAGAAAAACGAATGAGTTAATGTGCCGCAATACAAAAATGATACCAAAACAACGCCACAAAAAATTCAGAATATCATGTAATATAATGTTATATATCAAATTATTAAGTTGCCATGAGATCGTGATTGGAGGGAGAATCTAAAGGAGATGACGATGGACAAAGAAACTCACAGAGCAAGCGTCACTGGGGCCGGCTCCCAGTCATGTCAGTGACAGTGTCCAACCAAACGTATTTATCGTCCTTCGGACCTCAGCCCGGCAGTTATGATGCACCAACCGACGCCAACATCAAAGTGAGGATTTTCATTCCTCTTGACCGAGTCATTACTTGGCCTCTCCTCCTCTTCTTACACCCACATCCTTGGAGCGCAAACAACACATGATGTGGGAGTCGGGGTGCTGGCATGCGCAACACGTCGCCCATCCATCGGATCCTGGGGCGGGATATAATGGTACTGAGCGGATCACTCGCCCTTCCTGCATCAAATACGCGACGCCGAACACACTCATTGCACAGGCGGTGCAGCAATGAGCCATTACGAGCGGTTGGTGATAAAGAGAGGGGACTAAGAGGTACTATTCTCTGTTGCTTTTGTTGAATCATCGGTGGTCCAAAGCACTAAAAAAAGGCCGTTGCAAATGATATACAACGGATGACCTCGAATTGCCGTGGATCCACAGGACGTTACCAAACTACTCGAGGTAAAAAAGCTACCCAATTGGACACATATGGTCACTGGTGTTCGCGGAGTGTTACCGACAACTTGTGAGGACACCGGGTAAGTGATGCTGAGGTCCACCAACAGGTTTCGAAATAAACCCTCTGATGCTTCACCAGAGCGTTTACTTAAGTTGAAAAGCCGACGCTGACCGGGCCATATCCTCTGATTGCGCGGTGACCGAATTTCCTTGGCGCCGTATCGAACCAGCTGCCATCTCGACGTTAGCCTGGAATAAAGACGTACAGAAACCAACCGAAAGAATTCGGTAATCTGGTACGAACTGTAATCACTGACAGAGGCCTCGAAATGATGCACAAAAGTGGTCAGAAAGTTGATCGAATATGGCTAGGCGCACAGTCAGTGGCAGTTTCAACGTCGAATCCGGCAGGATTCTGTCTGGCTGAGTCAGACAACTGTCTTCACACCGTTTGAGAAGTCTCGTTGCATCATCTGAGACGCTGTCATCGCGCGCATAATGACCATCGTGGTGACACTAATAGGCAAACGGCAAATGCGTTGAAATCCTTATATCAAATTTGCAAACTTTACTCAAGAGCTGATGGTTTTTAGAAGTCGTCCTCAATCGAGTAACAACTGCAGTCCGTTGGAGCACCCGTGGAAAGCGGAAATAAGCTGCGCCTCTCCCCACGAGGTCTGTTTATTCGGTATGAAATCAGAAGCCGAATTGCACACAGTTGGCTGTTAATCGGGAACTAGTCAGGTAGGGTGGCACCAACTTTGCTACGTAGTGGTATATCAAAGACAGAAAAGGTTGCTGCAACTACTTCCATGTCCCCAAATAGACCTAGGCAAAATATGGATTATTAAGTTGCGAGAGATGTCGTTGTGAACAATGCTTTAGTCTTGCAAGTGGGTTTCGGAAGAATAGCAAACACCGATGACGATGGGTTCCATGGTACGTGCGAGACCAGACTGTTGCAGGATCTGCATGAGTATACATACAACGGAACCCGTGAGACGAAACGAGGATCGAGGTTGAACGAGCGCCACTGGTCACTGAATGTGAAAGAATCATGTAAGCGGGAATCAGTAACAAACAAAAGAAATTCGTCACAAATAAGCAACTGGTGTGGGAAAATGTGTATCAGCAACTGAATCAGGAGTACCCGAGCGCAATATAGCAAATACACGATCCACGGCATAGAGTAGCAGGTGAATTCGGGGAACAGCACTCACCTGTAGCCGGTGTCTGATTGCTCAGTTCATACGCGTTTCGTTTGGTGCGTTATAAAACACAGACACAGTTCTCACCATGATGTGTCGGCACACGCCAGCTGAGGCAAAATGCTCCACCAGAGTGAAGCAAGGCGCAGTGACTTTAGTTAGTGGCGAGTCACATAGAACACGTCGCAGTGTTATGAAACAGACATTCGTAGCTTCTATGAGGAGAATGCTTGTCAGGCGAAAAACAAGTCGAAAACGCACTCCAGGTGACTGAAAGGTTACTACGGGGAAAAGGACAGTTGCGCGGTGCTTGTGACCGTGCTACACTCAGTGTGGTTACATACAGTGTGGGACGGGCTACGGCCCATCTGACAACGTGCGTAAGTCAAATACGCTCGAGCCAGCAATTAGACAGAAATGCTGCTGCCGTGCCAGTTGATGGAACGTGCCTCCTATCCACATGCTACGCTACTATCGAAATTAGAAAACCTGTGTCAGAAGAAATTGGAAACCACGAGATCAAGAGTCCCGAATTAAGAACCCAGCTACCACTGACTGAAGCCACAGATAGCTATATGGTGCAAAGTCTCATCTCCGCACGGCCACAACACTATCAAGTAATCTTCACAACTCAGTAGTCTGTGGCAGCGAGAGTAAACGGGTCACAGCAATCGTCTGTCCAGCAGGATAACCTATCGTTTCGGCCAAACACAACAAACACATGCAGTAACATCGAGACAAAAGTAGATGTCAATTATTAACAACATTTGATTCACAATGGTACATGTCAGGTGCGTTATCAGAAGAAATGACACACGGAAGGTGTAGAACTCACTCAAGTGAACAGCTTCAACGTGTGCTTGAACGTGGTACTTGAAGTAAAAAGATTTTCCACAGTATTCACATGTGTGATCTCGTTGCTCTGGAACAGAAAGCAGTACGTTGGTAGTCAAGTACAAAGATGAGAATTGGATCAGGCAATAGAGCAAACTCCTTGTAACGAATCACTGAGGATGTTGAAAACACAGCAAAATCAAGGGTTTGCGGAGGAACCGTGGTCAGTGGATACGTATGCAGAAATCGACCGAAAGACAAGGTCAAGCAGCTGTTTCCCGTAACTGTTGATGGAGGTCTCGTGATGGTCCACAACAATCATTCAAAATGTGACCGAACATGGCTCAAGTGCGTCCGCATTCGGTTTCTTCTTAAGTCTCTATTAGGATGTTTTATCTGCATAACACCTCGCTTAGCAATCAGTGTGAATTGTTGTTACTTTGACGGCGCGGGTCTTGGCAAGTAGATGCACCGCACTTTGGTGCCTAATTCTCTGCCAGTACCATCGGGTAACGAAAACTGAGCCAAGCAATGAACCCAATGGTATGCGGTGCACTAAAGCTAGGTACAACTGTGACAGGAGCCATTATTATGGGGGGAATGGAGAAACAGGATAGTATCGGTTCAACAAAGGAGTCCCAACACAAACAGAACGCCAGAATACCGCAGACACAAAAACAGATCTCGATGAAGGTGTCAAGCAGGAAAACACAGTGTAACGTCCAGTCAGACGTTCTCCTAAAAATTGGAGCTGTGTGTGGATGCTTGTTGCCACAAGATGATAACCTTCGCAACGGTAGGGTTGTTCAAAGACGATGCATAGGACCGTTAGGAATGTTCTGAAAATGACGATCAGGTAGAGCCGCATTACGTGTCTCAATCACACTAGAAAAAACGGCAGAAATTTGTCCACTATTCGGACGTTTCAAGCAATGCGCATAGGCGCTTACGAAGGCATAATGCACTGCATGTTGAATGCGACTTCAAATGTCTTTGTTTTGCCTGCAGCATACGATGGGGATAACTGATGCCGCCATTCAGAATGATGTTGCTACTTGGCAGGCAGCGAGTACAGCTTATAAAAAGCACTTTGAAATATCGTAATGCTGGTCGGTTTACAGCAGAACCAATGGAAAAACAGACCGGTTGTTCGAATAATTTCAGCTGATCAACCACACACACAACAACACATGGAAGCCAAACGATCTACGGGGTTCGTTCAATACATCTGGCATGAGAATTGGAAATCGTTTGCACACCGTGAAAACAACGCAATGCTGATTTGGCTGACGTCAAGTGAAACAGTGGAAGACGGTGACGGGGACATAATTTGCAGAAATATACTCACTCAAATGAACAGTAGTGACGTGCCTTTGCAAACGGGCTTTAGCGGCAAACGATTTACCACAGCGTTCGCAAGCATAGGGGTACTCTTCTGGATTGGGGAATAGAAAGTAGATAAATAAAAATGTACCAAATAGGGAAAAAGAAGCAGAGAATTTGGATAATCAGTTAGAATGATTTACCTAGGTCGTGGTATATGAGGTTATAATATTAATGGAGGAATCACAACGTTAAACTTACATTGCATAGTAAGGAAGATAAATGAGAACCAGTGTGTGGAGAATCTGTCAGCAATGACGACTTGATGCCAGTTTTGAGCCCGACCTAAGTGCTAACATCTTGCTTTGTCCTCAGTGTATTTAGAATGGAATGATAGCTGCAGTTCAAGGAACCATAATAGTGCAACCGAGTAGAGAGAACCCAAGTGCCGATGTGAGCAACAGCACAGCATGTCCGGGTCGCATCCAATTAGTCACCTCTTTCATCTTTCTGATTAATCCAGTGATTAACTATCTCGGCACCTCCCTGTCTCTTTGCATCCATACAATTAACTGAACATCATATACACCCTTCGAAAGAGCACTAGTTGTTGACCACACACGCAAACACTGGTTAAAGATGTCAATAGGCTTACAATGCTAGCCTAAAAATGATCGAGTCCCAACTACTATAGATCATGACGATCGCGCATATGCGCATACACTGCGGTTACTCCGGTCGAAGGACTGACGGGGACCAGAAGAGCCACTCAAGTCATTACGAGACAGATTCTTGACTCTTGATCTCGTCGTATCATTACTACCTGGTCCTATCCACGACCTAGTACTTTATCCAACTACCTGGAGTAATTCAGGTCAAATCAACCGGCGACGAAATTGGCAAGTGAAATGACAATCTCGGCAGACGATCTTCGTGCGAGTAATCAACCACAGCAAAGGCAGTTGGAAGCCGCTCAGCTCAGTCTGTTCGAGAATCTGACTCGTAACCACTCGAAGATTTCCAAGCACGGGCACCGAATGATGAACAAACCAATTTGGAGTCGATTTTGCTTACAATTCAGTTTTTCCATGACGTTTCATCAGGTGTTACATTTGAGTCCTGGTTCAAACGCTATGAGGGCATAATTCGGGTTGAGTTTAATGACAGGGACGATACACGACGATTACGAACACTGCTTCGTAAGTTCGGGGGCCACGGTACACGACCGTTTTGTAAAGCACATTTTGCCAGAACACCCACGTGAATTTGCATTCGATGACACGGTTCACTGTCTTACTCAGATTTTTGGCGAATGTTCCTCCCTCTTCAGCACGCTATCAAAGTTTAAAACTGGTCAAACACTCCATGGATGACTACATTAACAATACATAAATAAATAAACAAATAGCTTATATATTTCTGCACGATGCGAGAAGCTGTTCCCTAAAAGGAACAGATCAAATAATGGTACAACCTTTCCATGACATTGCATTAGTATATTTCAGAAATAAACACGGGCGCAATTGCAAATTAGATAACACAGCGTAATCAGAATCGTTCTGCTACATTTTTTCCTGCCATTGAATCATCATAATCACATGACAGATGTTTGAGCTCAGAAAAAATGTAATGAAAGGGGCTGTTGTCTGAAATGTGTGTGTTTTGAAAATTTATTCAGGCACCATGGATACGGTATTCAAATGCGTTTTCTGGGGACTGTTATGTCCCGAACATATATATATATATATATATATATATATATATATATATATATATATGTACGGCGGGAAAGCCTATGGTGCGCTGAGGCTGGTGGTGGCTAGATCCTGACAGATGGTCTACCCACTGCTGCTACTGTTGTGCCATTTGCTCATGTCCTGGGCGCATCCTCGTGGCGACCGCTGGGTGGGATTTGGGTTTCGCCCTTCTTCCTGCTAAGATCCAGGACACCAATCCGCATGAGTCAGTGAACTGACCATGTGCTAGACCCGCTGCCTTCCGGGTGTTCATTTAATCGAAGGCTTTGGCTAAGGATCCGAGTCGTTCTCCTGTCAGGAGTTGGCGCCTTGGCAGTATCCTAGTCCATCCTCTTCGGAGGTTAGGAAGTGGTCGATGGCCCACCTCCCGTAAGACCTAGCCATGGGAGACAACAGGTCTACGGGTTATAAGCTCACAGCTCGATTGGCGTAGAGCACGAGGGCCACGCATTGTCTCTGACGGTGGGAGGACACCTCCGGATTTTCAATGGTTTGCTACTGCCCGCCTCAAGCCAGGCAGCCCCTGGTCAAATTGGTGCAAACCCGCCAAAAACCCACCTGCGTCTGGCCGTGGTCGCAGTTGCGTATCCTACCACGGTCGCAAAACATATATAAAACGTTCCAGTACCTCAAAGGCTGCGTGTGACGGCCGTCAAGCAGATCCCAGTCTGTCTCTGCAATCACATTCCCGAGCTGGATCTGCTCCCCACTGCCTTGTGGGTCAGGCTATTGAGCCAAAGGCTCCGGGCGGAGTCCCTCAAGCAAACCTTCAAACCACCCACTGCCTTGTGGGTCAGGCTATTGAGCCAAAGGCTCCGGGCGGAGTCCCTCAAGCAAACCTCCAAATCAACCACTGCCTTGTGGGTCAGGCTATTGAGCCAAAGTCTCCGGGTGGAGTCCCCCAAGCAAACCTCCAAACCACCCACTGCCTTGTGGGTCAGGCTATTGAGCCAAAGGCTCCGGGTGGAGTCCCTCAAGCAAACCTCCGAAGCACAACGACCACCTGGCGCTCGATAGCCCACCCATGCAATCGTATACCTGCGCGCAAAGCACTCAGCATCGGGTGCTGGAACGTGCGCACACTACTGGACCGGAAATCCAGCGAGCGCCTCGAGCGACGCACTGCACTGCTCGCGATGGAGCTGGCGCGCTACAACATCGATATTGCGGCGCTCAGTGAAACCCGGCTCGCTGAGCAAGGTAAGTTGCATGAAGCAGGTGTTGGCTACACATTCTACTGGGTGGGCAACGCTGCCTAAGCACCACGTGAACATGGGGTCGGATTTGCAATATCCGATCGCCTCCATGGCCAGCTGGTAGGTGAACCAACGGGCATCAGCGCGCGACTGATGACTGTTCGCCTACGACTCGGAAGAGGTAAGTTTCCCACCGTTGTAAGCACGTACGGTCCGACCATGTGTTATCCTGATGACACGCGTGATCAGTTCTACATTGAGCTATCCTCCGTGATACGGTCTGTGCCGAGGAGCGACCGACCATTTCTTCTGGGTGATTTCAACGCGCGCGTTGGGCGTGATGCATCAGCGTGGACAGATGTTATCGGTGCGCATGGCACTGGCTCAGCAAATGCGAACGGTGACAGGCTGCTCTCACTGTGTGCCACTCACGGCCTGACGATCACGAACACTCGGTTTGCACTGCGTGCGAGTGCTATAAGCAACTTGGACGCACCCACGGAGTGGTCACGCTTACCTGCTCGACTATGTCATCGTACGTCAGCGTGATATGCGTGAAGTGCGCATGACACGTGTACTGCGTGGACCTAAGTGTGGCACTGATCACAAGTTGGTGCGGACCAAACTGTACATATATTTTCGTAAATCAATGCATTGCACTCCCGCGGTGAATCGGCGTAAATTTAACATTCTCTCCCTCGGTACTGTGGTGATACGCACTGAGCTGGAGAAGGCGATGGCTGCAAGCCTGTGTGATATGGACTGCATAGCCACAGTGGACGACCTGTGGCACCATATTCGCGACCAGGTGACAGCTGCTGCCGAGGAGACCATCGGGCGCGCAAACTGTAAGCGGCCTGATTGGTTTGAGGACAACAATGCGGCGATCGGCGCATTGGTGTCGGAGAAGAATGTGGCGTTTGCTGCACATGTTGCAGACCCCAGTGACTTAGGAAAGAGTAGTCAGTTCCGCAAACTTCGACGGCGACTGACCCGAGAGCTCCGTCGCATTAAAAGTGCATGGTGGACGGAGAAGGCGAAGCAGATGGAATGCTACGCCGAACGCCGCCAACACAAGGAATTCTTTAACTCCTTGAAGGCGGTGTATGGACCGAGATTGGAGCCGCTGAGGACACTGATCGATGGTAGTTCAGGCGCTACCTGCACACAGACTGCAGACATAATGCAGATCTGGAGGAAACACTTTGACTGTCTCTTGAACAACCGTTCAGAGATCGACTGGCCTACATTGAACGGCTCAAGCAGCACGATGTGAAGGCGGAGCTGGCGGATACGCCGACACTGGATGAGACGCAGAGAGCACTTGCTCAGCTGCGAAACGGCAAGTGTGCCGGAGCCGACGGGATCCCGCCTGAAGTATTGAAACACGGCGGACCCGCGTTGGTGACTGCGCTTCACCACTTGGTGCAACGCGTATGGATTGAGGAGGAGGTGCCTGCTGAGCTGAAGGATGCCCTTGTGCTACCACTGTACAAGGGCAAAGGTAGCAAGCAATGTTGCACGAATTATCGTGGCATCAACTTGCTGAGTTGTGTTGGTAAGGTGATTGCCCGAATCCTGCTCAATCGCCTCGTCAGTCAGGTTGTGGAACCTAACGTGGCGGAAGAGCAGTGTGGATTCCGTTCGGGTCGCAGCACTATAGATATGGTGTTCGCGGCTCGTCAGTTGCAGGAAAAGTGCAGAGAACGACACCAGCCGTTGTACTCGGTTTTTGTTGATTTCACCAAGGTATTTGATACGGTGAACCGCGAGACATTGTGGCTGGTGTTGGGTAAGTTTGGTTGCCCGCGTAAGTTTGTAAGTTTAATTGAATGTCTGCACAGTGGTATGCGAGCGAGGGTGCAGCTGAGTGGAGAGACCTCGGATGACTTTGCAGTTGTCTCTGGTGTGAAGCAAGGCTGTGTCTTAGCTCCTGCCCTGTTTAATATATATCTTCATGCAATGTTATCTTGTGCTTTTGATGCGGCTTGTGCTTACGGTGTTCGTGTGGAGCACCGTATTGTTGGTGGGTTGCTGAACATTCGTCGTTTCTGTGCGAGAACTCTAGTCTGTGAGACAACTATCCGTATGTTGCTGTTTGCTGACGACTGTGCGTTGTTTTCACACAGCGCGGATGAGTTGCAGCATATGATTAGTGC